CTTCATTTCCCCACCTCCTCCCATAGCCCACCCCCTCCACAGCCCCCCACTCTCCACAGCCCCTGCCTCAGAGCCCCCCATCCCCTACCATAACCCCCTACCCTCAGAATCCCCCCCACCTCAGAGCCCCCCACCCTCACCTCCTTCAGGGGAGCCTCCACCCCACTCCCAACTGGACCCGGCGAGGCTGCGGCAGCTCAGGCTGCGGGAGGCGCTGCAGTGCAGGCCTTTCCCGGGTGGGGAAGCTTGGGCTCCCAGGAGTCACTGCCGCGCACCGAGAAACTTTCCCCTGTGCCAGAACCCGCCCCCGGGCAGCAGCTCCACCAGCGGGGAGGCAGCCCCGGCTGCACGGACCGTTGGCGCGGGGGCTCCTTGCACGGCCGGGACAAAGGGGGGAGCCTGAGGCTCTGCCAGAGCCGTGGGGGATGCTCAGAGGAGGGAGAAGCGGCCACGGGTCCCCTGCACCAGCAGCTGGCTGCAGAGACGCCACCGCTCCAAGCCGTGGGGCGCAGAGTTGCAGCAGCACGGGGGGCTTGCAATCCGCAGGCTGAGCGAGCTGACACCCCAAGAGGAGAGGGGGCAGTGAGTAGGGTTATAATACGTCCATATTTTCCGGACGTTTTTATATATTTAAAAAATCCTCCTGGATGGCAATTAACAACTAAAAAGCCGGACATGTCCGGGGAAATACGGACGTATGGTAACCCTACTGGTATTGAGCTAACCCTGGACCAGTTGGGAGACAGTAGCTGCCACACCAGAGCTGACAATTGTGAATTCAACTGAACTCTATAAAGATATGGTTTAAAGTCCTTACTTTATATGGACTGGATCGTGAATTGGACAGGGGCAAAAATCAGCAGGCAGGGGCTAAGATCATGGGGCATAGATCAGGGGTTGTATAGTGACACGTGTCAGCTGTGGAAGACAGATTCTTTCATACTGTGTGAATATTTCTCTGCCCAGTTCCCTGCAGCTCCTCCCCTGGGGGAGAGCACCATCAACCACACACAGAAAGGGTCACGATTTGTTCCTGTTTCCATCAAGAATTGGACGGAAATCTTTTATGTGTCTCTGTATCCATCCACACCCTTGTTACCTTGTTCTGATCCAGGATCATTTTCCCCCTCGCTGTCCCCAGTGTAATACTGCAGCTTCGTCACTGAATCATCTAAATAGGAAACCGGAGAGATGGTAAATGGGATGTTATCACAGTGAGAGCAGCGAAACTGGCTGATGGGCAATGCATCCAGGTCCTGGAGCAAGATTTATGGTCTCAGTATATTGCTCTTTGAAGAGAAGATGCTGAATTCACAGTGACTGAGTGGTGAGAGGCTGACACAGATTTTCCAAGATAAATATCCATTTTTTTGTGGTAAATGTGGCTTTGGAGTGGATAAAATCAGACTGTGAAGATGCTGGGAACAGCCATATTGACCTCATAAGGTGAGGCAGGGACTGAATGAACCTTTAACCATGGGATCCCCTCCTGTGTGCTTCATTCAAATCCTTCTCATGAACTGGGGAGCCTGTTTTGAGTCACACTCAGGGTGTAAGAATCTGTTTAGAGAGGAATGTTTATCTTCTCCTCCTGAATGTTGCTACTTCATGGCCTGATCCAGAAGAAAATTACAGCTGAGGCTGCTGGTCCAGACCTCCTTAGCCACGGACATGACTCTCATTTTGTTATGCAAGATACTCCCCCTCCCCTGCCTTTTTGCCAGATTAAGTCACACCCCTCCCAGGATCAGAGTTTGTGACCAACTCTGATGATTAGTAGAGAGGAGAATGTGGATCTCAGAAGTAGCCTCAGGGAGACACATTGACCATGCTCAGAGTGCCCCACAATGTGCTAAACTGAGAGCAGCATCTTCCCAACTGATTGACATTGAGTCAAAAGGACGTGAACAGTCACTTTCCTGACCCATAACTAATTACCCCCTAAGACTGCAGGATGTACAGATCGGAGTCTGCTAGGGAGGAAACTCATTAATCTCAGTCCAGTAACTGGCTGGTCTCTTCACAGACCCAGCATCTGCAGCCAACCAGGACTCACAGACTTGAAGGCTGCAGAGATTTAGCTCTACGTCAGAGCTTTAGAATGCAGAGTGCATTAGAGATTTTCTCCCTGTTAGGAATGACACACACAGACCTGAGCGATCAAACATTTCCTGCTTCTTTCTCATCAGGTTATAATCGATCTCCTCGTACACGGCCTCAGAGAAAGGGTCCAAGGATCTTCTGGAGCCTAAAAACAAAGGGCAGGGTTTGCACAGGGTCAGAGAAGCTAGGGATGGGAAACCTTATGAGATCATCCAGCCCATCCCCCTGGGCCCAGTGCAGGACCGGTCCCTACAGCACATTCCCACTGCTCTGACCAGTTTAGATTTCAGTGCTCCAGGTGACGGGGACCACGTCCCTCTCCTGTTTGTTCTATTGGCTATTTCACTGTCATTAAATTTATCTTGATATTCAACCTTAATGGTTCCTTCATAAATTTATTCTATTACTCCTAGTAGCTCCCAAAATCATTCTTCTCCTATCCTGGTGCTCACACCTATGTGTAAAATAGTACTTGTATATGTACTGCCTAGAGACTGTGTGGGGAATAATTAGCTAATATTTGTGCAGTGCTTTAAAAATGGAAAGTACTATCTGTGGTGGTACCCCCCATAAGGCTTTATGGAATATGCTTATGAATAACTAGAATATGTTTTATGCTACATATGCTATGTAACATATCTATGTAAAGGTTATGATCTACTGAATACATTCCTCCTATTTGTATGCATGTATCATTTTTGTACTTGAAGTTAAGAATATTGGCTGTATACTTGCTTGATTTCTAAGCAGCCTTAGTAAAGCATTTGGTCAACTTCTTTAGAAAGGAATTTGCAAAGTTAAGTGTCCAATCAAGAAGCACTTAAGGAACAATGGATCTTGGAATCCTCCAATCCACATAAGAAGTCTACTTGAGGACGTTCAAGGTAGCATGTGAACCATGGCTGCTACCTATAGTTCTGAGTCATGCATGGACATGTGGCTCCAAAACTCCATCTTGGAGCTGGACTTTGCATAGGAGAGAAGAGGGGGTCTCCACCCACAAGAGAAAGTCTATTTAAACCCCTGGAAGACCCCCTCCATTTGGTCTTCAGCTTGCTAAAGAGACAGCCTCTCCACCCCCAAGGATACCTGAAAGGAACTGGAACAAAGGACAGTAACTACAGGGGGTATGAGTAATTGCTGTTGATTGTTCTTTCTGAGGTACACTGTATGCTCCAGCATTTTATCTTGAATTTATTTGTACTGGGTCTCCATTCAAATATCCCTCTGTCAAGTTCTTCCACTTTTCTCATTAGGCCCATCCTGGCTGCCACACTGAGGTGGAGAATACTATTGGTCTGAATGAGAAGTTTTTGTCTTTGAAAGATATTTCTGTGGCGAACTGTCCCATGTAATTCAGAATGCCTCCAGGGCTAGTCAGAGCTGTGTCAGGTGACTTCAGTTCTGGGCGGGGTTGAAGGTGATTGTAAGGCCCTTCTGAGATGATTCTTACATCTGCTCCTAAGTCAATTTTAAAGTCAATAGTGTTTCTCTGAATGATGAGTTTCACTCTCCGGGCAGGCTCTGTATCATCACACATGAAAGATCCCAAAAACAATGGCTCCTGATTATCTGTAATATGAATCAATTCCCTGACTGCGTTTATGTGGCAAACAACTGCAAAATGTCCATGTTTTATGCATTTAATATAGTCTGAGTGTTTGACTGGAATATGTACCTCTTAGCCAGGAGTTCTCTCTCTTTACCTCATAAGTTTTATGGTATTAACTTGTTTCACTCATGCTGCGTTAGTTAACACCTTCTAAGCTAGTTTCTTGTTCAAGTTTGGCAAGTTGCTCTGGGTTTTGCTGTCTCATCAGCTCAGATTGCTTTGCCATTTGAACAGTAGTGTGTAGGGTGAAGTCTGTTTTTAACTGTAGCTGCTGTGAAGGATTTTTATCAGTTAACCCAATAACCAGCCTCTCTCTGATATTTTCATGTTTGCTGTTCCAGAATCAGAGTTTTCAGCCACGGCACACAGAGCTCTTATAAATTATTCAACATTTCCCCCTAGTCCTTGAATTCTCTGATGAAAACATTCCCTTTCATAGACCACATTTCTCTGAGGGTACAGTAGAAAGAATTACGAACACGTTGGAATGGAGGTTGTTCATAACTCTGAAATGTTCATAACTCGGAACAAAATGTTACGGTTGTTCTTTCAAAAGTTTACAACTGAACATTGACATAATACAGCTTTGAAACTTTACTGTGCAGAAGAAAAATGCTGCTTTTAACCATCTTAATTTAAATTGAAACAAACACAGAAACAGTCGCCTTACCTTGTCAAATCATTTTTTTAATCTTTCCCTTTACTTGTTTTAGTCATTTACATTTAAGACAGTATTGTACTGTATTTGGTTTTTTTTTTTTTTTTTGTCTCTTGTGCCGCCTGGTTGTGTACTTCCAGTTCCAAATGAGGTGTGTGGTTCACTGGTCAGTTCTGTAACTTTGAGCTTCCAGTGTATAAAGTATGCATCAAACATAGCCAGAACCCTTCCATAGTCATTTTTGTGACTGTCCTCAAGGAAATCAAAGTATTTAAAGAAATGTTCTGTTTCCTTCCAAATAGCATGAACTAAACACCATACATCAGTTTCCTTATGGAGTTTTATAGAAATTTGAAATCTTGCAAAATGCTGCTTCTAGTCTGTCAATTGTGAAGGTCTGTCAAAGCTGAAGTTCTCTGGGGCAACGAAGAGGGAGATGTTGATGAAACCCTGCAACCGGTGTTGCTTTTTTTCCTGTCTACAACCTTCATTGCTCCTCCTTCCCTCTGCAACTTCTGTTGCTTTCTTCCCTCTGTTTTTCTGCTCCTCTGGCACTGCTTAACTTTGGGTTCCATGTCACATACACCTTGTACATGGTAGGTGGCAGGGCTGCTATTAGCAGGTCAGGCTTCTGTACCAGATATGGACTGGCTACAGACCTGCCTTCCCAGAGAGATACTCACCAGATGTGTTCACAATAAGATCCCTTAATGCTCTGCCAGGCATGGCTGAGGTTAGCTAAAATAAATTGTTACATGCAACGCCACTTCGTGGCCGAATAGTATAATACAATTTAACCTTCCATTACACTGACAACACCCCACCCCCCCTTAGGCACAGCTCCCCCTGCTATTTCAGAGGCATTTCACATAGTGACAACAATCAACACCCACCTCTGCGCTGTGCCCTGGCACTTTGTACCTGTGCACCCAGGATGATTAAGACCAGGCAGAGCAGGGCCCCGAGGATAATGCAGATGACCACAGGCACCGTGACTCTCCCACTGTCAGTCAGAGGGCGGCGTGGGGGAGCTGGATGGAAATGAACATGTGACAGGAAGAGATTATTCTGTGAGAGTCACGCGGGATGGAGGGTGGGGGCAGGGAGCTTCCCAATCACTTATTGGATGGCCTAGGACAGCAGGTAATGGGCTGGGACATAGTCTGTGCGCCATGGGGGCAGGTCACAGGCTGCTGTTTAAATCATGGGCCTGCCCTCTCAGCTGGAGCCAGCAGACATGAATCATCAGGCTCAGCAGGGCCTGCAGCTCCCACCCAGGTGTCATTCACCCCTAGATTTCACAGGCCATGTGTAAGGGGACTGTTGGCCCCTTACTAAAACTCAGTGGGGTTTTTCCATTGGCTGTCTCCCAGTACCAGAAGGAGGGGCAAGGTTCGATGGGAAATCAGGACCCTGAGGCTGACGGTCCCCAGAAATAATGGGGAGAGGCCAGTGCTCCAGGTCAGCCTGACTGACAGGGTGGGCAGGCTAATCAGGGAGTCAGGAGGCTGGGGAGGTGGGGGGGGGCGGATCCTGTCCTTCCTGTGAGCTGGAGTTGCCTGGAACAGAGTGGGGCTGAGCTATTGAGAGAGCAGGGGCTGGAGCTAAGCTAAGGGAGCAGAGCCGCGCCAGCCAGAGAGAACCAGAGAAGCAGACCAGGCGGAGCAGGTCAGTGCTGGGAGCAGAGTCACAGAAGCAGCCCACAGGGGAGACCTGTGCTAGGAGCAGAGCTGTAGGAACCAGAGCCAGAGGGGCCAGAAAAAAGCAGCCCAGGGAGATGGAGGCAGAGCAGCAGCACCACTGCTGCTGAGACAGAGTGGTGGAGCTGGGGCTGGAGCAGTCTGAAGCTGGGTGCTGTGAGCAGCTGGGGAGAGCGAGGGGGGCCCTGGGCAGCAGGCCCAGTGCTGGGAGATTCCCCCAGCCAAGAGGCCTTGTAGGTCAGACTTGGAGAGGGATCGTAACCCCAACGGGGAGGGGGCGATGCTGGGAAGAAGGGTCCTGCCACCTAGAGCCTGAAGGCAGGGCTGGCTCCAAGTTTTTTGCCGCCCCAAGCAAAAAAATTTTCCCGTGCCCCCCCCGGCCCCTCCCCAACTCCGCCACTTCCACACCCCAGTCCAACCCCTTCCCCAAATCCCCAGGCCCGCCTCCTTCCCTGGGCATGCTGCATTTCCCCTCCTACACCTCCCGCCCAGGCAAGCCTGGGAGGGAGGGGGAGAAGCGGAGCAGCGGCGTGCTCGGGGGAGGAGGGGAAGGTGAGCTGGGGGGGGAGCGGTTCTTCTGCCCCCCCAGGGTTACTTCCTGCGGCCCTCCCAGCGCCCCCCACCGCTGCAGCTCACCTCCGCTCCGCCTGCTCCCCTGAGCGTGCCTCCACCGCTCTGCTTCTCCCCCTCCCTCCCAGGCTTGCCGCAAAACAGCTGATTCTCATGGCAAGCCTGGGAGGGAGGGGGGAGAAGCGGAGCGGCAGCGGCGCACTCGGGTTGGAGAAGCGGAGTGGCGGCGGCGCGCTCGGGGAACAGGCGGCAGTGGAGCGGAGGTGAGCTGAGGGGGAGCAGTTCCTCTGCCCCCCCCCCCCAGTGTTACTTCCTGCAGTCCTCCCTGTGCCCCTCACCGCCGCAGCTCACCTCCCCTCAGGGCCGGCTCCCGGCTTTTTGCACCCCAAGCAAAAAAAAAAAAAGGGCCGGAGTGCCGCCCCTTGGAAAGTGCCGCCCCAAGCAAATACTTGGAGCGCTGGTGCCTAGAGCTGGCCCTGCCTGAAGGCATGTGGCCACCACCAGAGCAAGTCAAGTGTCTTACCCCCAGCATCCCTGCAGCACAGCCAGGGCCTGAGAAGGAGGCTTGGGACTTGTGATGAACAGACTGAACTTCCCTTATATTCCAGAGATGCTGGTTGTGATGTCCCCGTGCCACAGAGCGGGGTGACGTGTTTTCCTTTAACCTTTCCCATTTTTCCGTTTTTTTTTCAATTGATTGCTGTTTAATAAATTGTATTTGCTTTGAACTTCATGTAATGATCAGTGGGTCAGGGAAACATCCAGTGCAGAGAAAGCCCCTTGAGGTGGGGACACCTTAACCCCTGCCCTAAGTGACCACAACCTCCACCCCGATATAATGCGAACCAATATAACACAAATTCGGATATAACGCGGTAAAGCAGTGCTCCAGGGGCGGGCGGGGCTGCGCACTCCAGTGGATCAAAGCAAGTTCGATATAACGTGGTTTCACCTATAACGCAGTAAGATTTTTTGGCTCTCGAGGACAGCGTTATATCGGGGTAGAGGTGTAGTTCTGAAAATTTAGCAGGAGGAAGCTTGATTATTGGTGAAAACTGTCAGTTTAGGGGAGGGCAGGATGCCACCAGCTTTCCTTTCTGACCCTCATCACCATAGTTTTGTGTGTTTTTTAAAGGACCAATTGTTGGTCCTTGGTTGTGTAGCTGATCTTCACCTCAGTTATCACCCTCTTTCAAACAGCCCATTTTGGGGAGATTAATGAGAATTCATTTTGATTGTTCTTTCTTATTTATAATATCATAGTGCCTAGGAGCTCCAGTTATGAGGACTCTGCCACACAGGAGTGTGGAAGGGGAGCCCTTGAGGTCAGGCAGGCCTCTGGTTAAAGGAATTGGGAGCGAGGACTCAGATTCCTTCGCTAGCCCATTTCACCGGGGTGCTGTATAAGCCAGGTATAGCGGGACCATTCCCCTGCTTACACATGGAAAGGAGCTCCTGCCTGAGGCACAGCTTGCATCTCATCCTCTGTGATCCAGCACCAGAGGATCTTGATGGGAGCAGGGGATGTTTTACCTGTTCTACTCAGTGATGATGTCATCTCTGTCACACCTGCAAAAGGAAAGGGAGGAGAGTTGGAGTCTGGAGCGAGGGGGAGGTGACGTATTTGTCACCAGGTAGCGTCCCTCAGAGTCCCTGGAGATCACCAGACGTCACTTCTACAAACTCCCTGAGAGCAGCACCGAGTCTGTATGTTAGTGATTTAGGGCCCATGTCCTCCTATACTGACTTGTAACAAACAGCACACTGGGGTCTGTGATGGATGCAGGGGCTATGTGGGCTGATGTCTGAGACAATCTGACCCCACAAAGGTTCCACCCCACAGCATCCATGATGCTCCTGCACAAAGCAGATGGGAGGGCCTGGTCTGTGACCAAGGAGGGGAAGGCAATTGGACTCATCCTCCTTCCGGAAAATTATAGCATGTAGCAGAAACATCTCCTGTCACTCACCTAAGCAATTCACTGCAACATCTTCCTTATGGCCACAGTTACTTTCACCCCAGGGCTTGGCAGGACAGTCCCAGAGAGATGACTCTGTCCCTCTGCAGTTCACCTTCTCCACCCAGATGGGACCAGTCCCCTCACCGAATGCAGCCTCACCAGGGGCAGATAGAGCAGATCCACAGCCCAGTTGTTTACACACAACGTTAGCATCCGCCATGTCCCAGGAGTCATCACAAACTGTTCCCCAGGAGCCACGGTACCAAACCTCCACTCTCCCCGAGCATCTGTCCTCTCCTCCCATGACACGTAACTTCTCCTGGTCTGGAAATGCAGAAACCTCACATGTTACTGGGACAGCTGGGAAAGTCCTTAAGGACGAAGAATGAGACACAGAGAAGCAGAAATACCTGTGCAGCTTGGAGAGTTCGGGCATTCGGCAAACAGGGTCTGAGGTGGTTTCTCTTTTTGTCCTATGCAGAGAAAATGATGAACTGAATGGACTGAGAAGCATGTGTGATGTGGGAGAGAGTAGGGTTTATCTGTATATTAAACCCCTAAATTTCAGCAATTTTATAAACTTAAATCTAAAATCTAGTTTATTTCAGAGCTAACGGATTTATTCCTCAGTGGATTCTCTGGCTGTTGAAGTCTTTATGCAGCTCCCTGCTGGTGTGTGCGTTTGTGGTTATCTGAGTCTGTTCCATCCACCCTGTGTACAGCTGCTTCTGGCCCTGTTTGAAGGTAAACAGATTTGTCAGCTGAAACTCACCCACATTATTGTGGGGATCCAGACACGGTGGTATTAGAATTGAGACCAAAATGGGACTTTAAATCTGAAACAAACTCTCACCGACACGCACAGACACAGACACACTTTTCGGGAATTCTGATCCTGACCAAGACTTCACAGCCTGGGGGTCAGGAAGCAGGGGCTGCAGCAGAGCTAGTCTCCAGGCAGACTAACAAGCACAGCTGGCCTGTATTAGGCTGCCTGACTGGTCATACTGCCTGATTGGTGGGAAGAGTCAGCAGTCCAGGTCTTGAATCAAGCGCCATTCAGCAACTGCTCAAAGCATTTCCCACAGCTAGGATACCTCGTTTTCCTGTCTTGTTCCTAGTCTTGCTGTTGCCTTGACTCCGGACTTACCCCTTGCCTTGCTCCAGGTAACCTGGTCCTGACACTGAGCTCCGATTTCTGACTTCGGCTCTGGCTCTGACCCTTGGCTCCAATTTCTGGCTACCAGCTCCTGCTCTAAGCACTGGGCACAACTCCTGCTCCAACCGCTCAGCATGACCGCCCATGTCCTGGTCCCTGACCTTGGGCCCATCTCTGATTGTTCATCACAAAAGCATAGCCACAGAGATTCCCAAATGACGCTCGCTAATGGGAGGCATTTGCAGTGGCACTAGAACAATTTTTACAGTTGGGGTGCTGAAAGCCAGTGGTCCCCAAACTTTTTACTTTGCCCCCCTTAGTCCTGTCCGTGCTCCCTCTCCCCTGAGTTGGGGCCAGGACTGAGCAGTGGCTCTGGGGGGTGGGATCTGGATAGCAGTAAGGAACTGAGGCTGGGACAACAGCTGACCCAGGAGCAGAGCCCCGATTGCGAGGCCAGCAGCGAGACCCTTTGTGCAGTACCAGCAGCAGAGCGCAGGGCTGGCAGCTGGGACCCCGTGCAAAAACTGGGGGTGCTGAAGCACCCCTCACACCCCAAGTTCCCCTGCCTATGGGCATTTGTGGGCTCTCACTATCTGACTGCACTGTGTAACACACAGCTTGTATAAATAACTCCTATGTTTGTTTTCCAGGGGCTGTATTCTCATTCCTAGAATGGACAATGAAAATGTCTTTCACTGCTGTGAATGTAAAACTCTCTGTACTGAAAAGTAAATACATTCACAATTTCTATCACACCCTTTCAATGAGTTAAACATGTAGAGAGTGTGTTCATGCGTGTGCACAGAGAGTTTCAGAATTACCACTGCAGGAAATATGGGTCTCTTCTGCGCGGTTATCACAGGACTGCTGTTTCCACATGTCTGATGGGCACTGCCAAAGAGACCTGTGCTGCTCATTGCATGCAACATGGTCCAGCCACGTGGGACCAGAACCTGCTCCATATGCAAAGTCTCTTGCAATCTGCCCTCCATCCCCACAGTTCAGCTGTTTGCAGACAATTGCTGCGGCGACTCCAGACATCCCATTGGAGCAAACACTGCCCCACGTCCCATTGTAGAAAATCTCCAGCCGCCCAGCACAGTCACTGTCGCTCACCAGCCTCAGATCTGTGAACTCTAGAAGGAAAGGCACAAAAAGGGAATTTAAATCGTCTGATTCTGAAATGATCTGGTGTGAAGAGTGAAATCCCAGTGATGGCTAACGATCCTGTGCATCATTCGGCAGGAGCAAATGTCAGAGAGAATTGCTCTAAGAATGAGAGACTCTTCTGGATGCCACAGGCCCATTAGAAATACAATGGTCACCTCTGAAAAGTCACCGGTTCCCAGCAGTTACACACACAGATACCTGCAATACAGCAGTGCGGCAATATGTGTGGCAATATCTCCAATACTCTTGGGTGGGAACATATGGGAAATGGTGACTTTCTAATCATGACCCCAGTAGGTAGGTAGAAGAGTAGAGTGACCACATTTTCTTTAAAAGGGAAAACAGAACACCCCACGGGAAGCCTAACCCCAAGGCCTTCCTTCCTCTCCCCTCCCCCCCATGTGGGGCTACCCTGAGCCCACCCTGCCTCCCGCCTACACAGGGACAGCCTGAGGTCCCCCTACCCTCTCGACATGTGGGCCGGCCTGAGCCCCCCCTGCCACCCACCCTTATCAGGCTAGCCCTAGGCCCCCTTCTTTCCTCCCACATGCAGGGCAGCTCAAGACCCCTGCTGTCCTCCCGCATGGGGCTGCCCAGCCAAAGCTGCTGTCTTGAGTCCTCCCTCCAGCGCGGGACTGGCGTTGCCACTCACCCCACCCCCGCATTTTCCGCCACATCCCGCTAGGGGTCGTATCCCACTTTTTTTGCAAAACTGAGCATTTGTCCAATTTGCTTTTGCCAACTCATGATCACTTGGCAAGATCAAAAGGGACAAATGCCCAGATTTGAGAAAACAGTCGGGATGGCCATGGCAGGCTTAAAAAAGGGACTGTCCCAGCCAAAACTGGATGATGTATGGGCAACCTCTAGAAGACACAGTGAGGTAGAGGCTCTATCATTCTCAGCTCTCTCCTCAATTGTCTGCCCCCTCCATTAAATCCCCTGGTAACCGGTCACATGAGCATTCCTGGACCAGACCTGAGCAGAGAACTCCCGCGTCCTCTTTGTGTCTGCAGTTGTGCTGGCCCCAGCCCATGGAAGGACACTCCCAAAGATTGGATTCCTTCCCAGAGCAGTTCACATCATCCAGCCAGATCTGCCCGGATCCTTGCCCATAATGAGCAGAGACAGTTGCATTGATGGCATGTCCACATCCCAGTTGTTTGCAGATGACACTGGAGTCTGGTAAGTCCCAGGAATCATCACAGACTGTCCCCCAGCTGCCATTGTAATAAATCTCCACTCTCCCGGCACAGCGACCTGTCCCATTCACCAGTCTGATCCGCTTGCTTCCTGCAGGGATAGATCCCAGCTTTTAATATGCAATATGATGATAATTACACAGCTTCCATGCAAATCAATGATGATGCTACAATGGCTGAGGTTTGAAATACTCTTAAAAGTCTGTCTTTAACAAGAAACACAGAGAAGAAGAGAAGCTGAGTAAGGAAATGAGGAATACTTTTTACGGAGCAATATTGATAAACAGCATGTGAGTGAAAGGGCCTAATTCTGAATTCCTTACTCATCTGAGTATCCTTAAGGGACTCGTTACATGGGTCAGAGCTATTTGTGAGACGAAGGGTTAGTGGAATCCGCCCTCGCTCAAAACCTTGAATATTTTCTTTTCAATTGTTACAGAATGGAGAGGATGTGACACTGGCTGACCAGGTCCATGCTAGAGTGTATTTAGATCAGTTCACTTGTGTAGATCAAAGTAATGGTTAGACGTATAAGGGTGTATTCAGGTGTTTAAACTGTATGAAAAGTAGTGGAACGTTACTGGTATGGTTTTCGCTTATCTATTCATGTCATAATGTAATGCCAAATATGCACATGGTAAATACACTTGTAGCTAAATAACACATCAAATAAAGGATTTAAGGACTTTAACAGAAAATGCTAATTTCAAATCAAATGGCCATTATGCATAAGGTCTGAAGTCAAAAATCTAAGTGCATTCCTCACTCCCAGTCATCCAAGGAAAAGCCCATATGGATAGACTGTCAGCTTGTTTCGTGTCAGAAGAAGATATAAATATGGATTCAAAGAAAGATCCTGTATCTCTGGACTGTTTGGATTCTAACTGAATGAGAAGACAGAGATCCCCAAATAAAGGGAAAGAAAGGCAAATTGGATCCATGTGTCTACAGTAAAGTCCCAGACGCTTAGAGCATAATTCTACCCTGCTGAAATCAACTGTGAAGCTCCCACTGGCACAATGGGGACAGAAATGGGCCGTTAATGTGCTGTAGTTACCCTGCAGTTGGTGTGGGCATGAAAAATGATATCTGTGCAGTAACATACAGAGCATGATATAGGGACATAGTTAAAATATCTGTTACTTGTTTACTTTTCCTGTGGGACCTTAATGTAAATATATAACAGCAAAAAGAACAATAGCATTATACTGTACAATAGTCATGTAAAACCAAGAACAATGAAAAAATCCCATCACAGATTCCTTTTTTCCCCTTTTCCTTTAAATGAAGGAAAATTGCACAGTTATAGGATTAGGACTTAACGCCATGTTATAACAGCAACTTTGATGGATTTCCTAAGGGACAGAGGGTTAGATCCACCAAGGTACTTAGATACCTAACTGCCTCTTTATAAATACATAAAGTGTAAATCATTACATATTTATTGTAGCAGGGAGTTGACTCTCCCATATCCCAGGTGAGTGCCCTGGACACCAGGTAGAATCAATCTCTAGGTTTTTTTCTGATTCAGTAACTGATTATTTGTACAAAGTGGAATATTTCCAGCTGAGTGACCTACCCCAGCATATCCTATAGCAGCGATTCCCAAATCTGGTTCGCAGCTTGTTCAGGGTAAGTCCCTGGTGGGCCGCGAGATGCTTTGTTTACCTGAGCGTCCGCACATACGGCCACTTGCAACTCCCAGTGGCTGCGGTTCACCATTCCCGGCCAATGAGAGCTGTGGAAGGAAGCGGTGGCCTGGCCTGCACTGCTGCCCGCAGCTCCCATTGGTTGGGAACGGCGAACCACAGCCATTGGGAGCTGCGGGCGGCCGTACCTACGGACACTCAGGTAAACAAAGCATCTTGCAGCCCCATCAGGGGCTTACCCTGAACAAGCTGCGAACCAAGTTTGGGAACCCCTGCCCTATACTCTATTGCAGGGTTCGGCAGCCTTTCAGAAGTGGTGTGCCGAGTCTTCATTTATTCACTCTAATTTAAGGTTTCGCGTGCCAGTCATACATTTTAATGTTTTTAGAAGGTCTCTTTCTATAAGTCTGTAATATATAACTAAACTATTGTTGTATGCAAA